TAACCAAGTGGACTATTTTGGCTGGCAAGAATCACAGTAACTATTAGATGCTGCTAACATTACTATTTGGCCTGCGGTCTTTGGCATCAAGGCTGCTCACTTCAGGCTATTGGTTCAACTTTTTATCAACAAATTATAATTTTGCTGATAATATTAATTCAGTGAAAGTAATGATTGGTTTGGATTCCATGTGTCTTACTTCAGTTGCGGGCTACTCACCTGTTGATATTGAAAAAGTGGTTAATTGGGGGTTGTATGGCAGTCATCTATCAGGTATCTTGAAGACTTTGTGTGGAAACATCGGTGTAGAGTTGTTGCTATTATATCCAATTCATGATTTGCGGTTGGTGTCAAGATATATTATCCAATGACTAACATCACTTTCAATTTTTTAATGAATGCCATTGAAATGGTTTTTAAGGTCTACGATACTGAGCAAGTTGGAGCTAATTTGTAGGCCGTTCTTCTTTTAGGCACCAAATTTGCTGAAAGTGCTCTTACTCAATTGACGGACCTATGAATAATTACATGCACTGATGCACTGAGTATCAGCTCGAAAGAGAGCAGCATCATAATTATATGAATACCTTGTTGCCCCACCTGCTTTTGGGTAAACTACTGCAAAATTGGATCATCCATCTGGTCAACCAGGTAAGAGAGATCTAAACGATGACACAAAATGATTGCGATTCCTGCTGCTTCCTGATCAAAAAGCCGGCCCTGTCACTGAGAAAAGACACCCAAAAACACTAATAAGTGGTCTATATCGCAGGCCGTGGCTGCTCTTGTTCTACTTCTTCTTGATACAATTGGGCTAGTACCAGTTGTTGCTGCACATGTGAAACGATTTTGTCTTTCAATTGCTGATGACTACGCTCTAAATGATGCTGCCGCTGCAGTTCCGATTTCATCCGTCCCTGTTGCTGTTTCGAATACTATATTAAATGAGCTCAATTACAATTCGATAAAGCGGTTCATACAGTTATTTTAGAAAACATGTTTACTACCAACCTACTCAAGAATGTTTTGTAAATCGCAAGGAATCAATGATGAAATGTCAGACTCTTCTGACACAGTTCAACAACTGGTTACTGAATGTTGGCAAATCACTGTGTTCACCAATTTCAAAGCAACGTAATTTGAAAATAGTGTTTGTGCTTATTTGTAAGATAAGGCGGTGATGAGCGAAGTATTTTCGTTGAAATTGATTCCCAAAAACCATGGCGGTCAGCTGTCTATACGTATTGAAAAGCTGTAAATAGGAAAATCAACTACTGCTGTGATGATGGAGGTTTGATGCACTGTTTATGCTTTGAACCCCAAGCGAATCAAGCTAGTGAAGTTAAGTGGTACAACACTGCTGTGTGATTCGTTGCCAATGAGATTATTAGAAAGGGCTACCGAGTTCACAAAGCTCCTAACAGGTTCGTTGCTGTCTGGGGTTTTGGTGCCTTGAATAATTTGGTATTTAAATTTACCGATTCAACTTTGCGGTCATCGAACCATCAAGAATGGTGTTCGACTCGCCGACTTTCATTGTGACGGGTGTAATAAGAGCAAATCAGTCCACCGTCATTAATGACAAAAAAAAACCAAGTAAATTGCTGTAGACGAAAGATTAAAAGTAATCACCAATGAACATCAAGAAAAGTTTGACATCAGCTCAGACGATGAAAAGTGAAGTGGTGTCAAGAGTCCATAATTGAATTCTGCGAAATCTGCTGCTTTCGCGGATAAAAGTGATCAAGTTGCTGATGCCAGTTGTGGTACTAAATGTAATTGGGACGAGGTTACTGCAACAAAATCAGTTTGCTCAGACAATCTTAGTGACATTGAAATTGAAATTAGATAGTTTACAAAAGAGTCAACAAATTCAAATATTGACTGCTTTCTGATGACCCACATCTCAAGTGACCACTTTGCTGCAACGACTGAAGAGCGAAAGCTTGCAGATCCATTCTGGTCAGTGGCCTGCTAATGACAGATTGAGGCAGCGCATGATAACATCACCTTCCCACCGGTTGAAGGTTTTTGCAATAATACTCTTTCTGCTCTCTACATGATAGTGAGAGGCATCAGGTGACTTCCCAAAGGCCAGAATGCTTGCTCCAGGGTTCTCTTAACTTGATGTGATTGATTATTGTGAATGATATAGACCTGTAATCGCGTACGAAAGAGTTAGATTTCTTGCTCTTGCGCAGCACCAAAGCCATTCAAGGATGGTCCAAGGGATGTGACAACGGTATTCATTTATGGTGATATGGAGACAGAACTTTACATGATACCACCTCCATTATTTGTTAGTGCTAAGGATCCTGTGAAACATTGGAATTCACACAAATCAATTTATGGGCTCAAAAAAACTTTACTCAAAGAGTACAACAAAACGTTAATTGCTCGCCAGCCTTTTGTGTTGCAAGGCGTTTCAGCTAAGGATGTTGTGTTTTATTCGTCAAATTTAATAGATCACAGCACAGTTCGATTCCAATGCGATGATCATATTCTTGCCTGCTTGTGATATAAAATGGTCAAGCTGGTCAAACTATAGCTCAGTTCAGTTCTCAAAATAAAAAATCTTGGTGAAGTTCTGAATTGATATGTTGAACCTATTGTTGCACAAAATATCAATCGGAATTTGGGATCTAAGTTGACCCCCGTTATAATCATGGATCAAATGTTTATGCTAGGGGAGACTCCTCCGCGTGTTCCACCAATACTGATTAAGCGATACAACATGCTAATTGAAATCGATAGCATTGAGTTGCATGAAAATATGTCATCAATTTTCAAGTTCGATTCAGTGATGATTGGGTTCCGCGGCAAATTGACGTTAGTGGCATATCTTTCCTAGTGTTTGACTGCTTAATCAACGTTTTGGCCCAACATGCTGTCGTCCACAATGAATGATAGATTATTAATGTAAAAATGTATATTAAAAATAGTAGCGAAAAATAGATGTTCAACTTTATCGTAAGGAATTGTGTTGGATCGCAGATTTTCACAAGACCAGAGCGGTGAGAAGACACCAATAACTGATTGTAGACATGCTGGGAATTCGTAAGTGCCTCCATTAATTCAATATCCATACGTGGAGCGATATTATCAATGTAGTGAGACACATTGGCGAACCTGCCGAAGACTTTTCGCGTTGGCCGAGCAGCTGCCAGATGAGGGTGAGTGTTAAGCTCGTCAGCGATATGCTCACAGTCACGGTGAAGTGGGTTTGAAACTCAACCAAAGCTATCCGAATGAACTCACTTTAAGGTAGTTACCTGGCCAGTTCGTTGTTTGGCCTATTCGTTTGCTCGCCAACACCCATTTATCTTATCTACTGATGAAGCGTCACTCTTGGACTCCGATTTAGAAGTGAATGCAAACAAAAATAAATGAATTTGGAAAAGCCAGGATTAGACCAATCAGATGACAAACAAAAGTACATGATAATATCAAATGAATATTTTGTAAATCTAAAAAATGCGCCAGTGAATCAATCATCATGTAACTGTCGCGGAAGTCATATCACCACTGGTTGTCAATCAGACGAAAACAATTCTGAAGTATGGCCAATAAAAATTTCAACGATCACTAAAAGTCAGATAAATCAAAACCACGTAAACAACAAAACAAATACTACGAACTATTGAATTATCAATGCAATTGATTGAGATATTTGAGCAGTGGAGCACAAATTTTTTTAATCAAGATATCAGCAACATTTCACTACGTGTCGACTGATGCAGGAATATAAACAGCATGTTACATTTCCTTTCTAAATCCGTACCTGATTCAAACATGTTTGGAGTTTCTGTGATTGGTGCGAGGTCTCAGCAGGACCATAGCAAATTTGCTATCACAACAAATAATTGGTTTATAAACATTTGTTCGAACATATTTGAATATCAGAATCTGCAGCACAGCATCTTTGACTGCCTCAGTGAAGAAAATGAATTCAGCATTGGATGTCAGCAATGCCACTGAAGCTGCTGTTTTCAGTTTCAAGTAGCTGTCTCTCATAATTCAGGAACATTTGTACCACCATTTTTTGATGACTAATCTTTGCGGCCCAACCGCTGTCAGTGAGTTCAACAACACTTATTAGATGAACTACTTTCCTAATCAGCTCTTAATAGATATGAGTTCAATTATGAAGGCCGCCTTTCAGCATCACAGAGGTGGATCTTGCATGCTAAAACATGTTATCCACAGAGTGATCAGACCGATATTCATCAGCATAGCATAAAGAATTTCCCGCGAAAATCATGGATGCAACAATTGACTTGCGGTGAGAAAACTCAGCGGCAGCTAACAGAGAGCCACCTGAATTTGCGTAGCATCATGTAGGGGTTGAAACCCATTCGTGTAGCGTCTGAGTAGAACTCACGACTCTACTGACGTTCAGCATTCACTATGACATGGGTGTTGGTTGATGCCCAAAAACGGTGGTTACTTTCAGGAGAACTAAGTGCAAAATTACCACCCCGAACCGCTGCGAAAGACTTCATTCTCAACATTAAACAGCCATATGATTTAACCAGCTTCACAATTGCTTCCGATGCTCAGGAAAATGTCAGAATGTCCTTGTATAATTTGATCAAGAAGTAGTGAATTTTTGATGAGGAATAGAACAGACCAGGATCAGTTGAGGGTCTTTGAAAAGCAAACAATTAGAAAGAACTTAGGATTGTTATCTTGTAACAAAAAAAGGATTGATGGAGTCCATAGGAGGATTTGAGTAACTTCAAAAGTCTGTGAGAATTTTCAACTTTAACACACCTAGGAGGTTGCCTCTTGTAAATTACAGCCCCCATATCACCATAACGATATGCTGTGCATCATCAATTTGAAGATCCTTGTATATCATCAATGCCGCGATCGCAAGGAGGACTCTAACATTCTCCTAGCCAATTAGTTCACTGAAAATTTTAGAACAATCAATTGCATAATATTGAGGCAATTCATGGTTACCCAGTCGGAGTATTTTCCAAAATGAGTTGTTTGCGCTAAACTCTTTGAAACGATCTAACGACAACAACAGGGTCATTTTCGAATGAAAAATCATCCAACATGAAAACACTATTGATAGGCAATGCGTTAATCTCTGATTAACAAAAGGATTTCCACAATAGAATACGACGAATTGTCATGGCAGTCGTAGAGGCAATCCGGCGGTAGCAATGTATGCCACATGAAATCTGTCTTCAACGTCATTTCTGGAATTAGTATTTTCATTGACTAAATATTGAAACTCAATAGGTTGTTCTTGACGATCTCTTTTGGCTACACCATGTCGATTGTTAACAGAGTATTCATCAGTGCTGCCATCAGCAACTTCTTCATGATCATCAGTGGATGCAACTTCATTCTTTGAAGCAGTTTTATTGTCATCGACATTAGGTCCTTCATTTTCTTGAGAACAGATGTGAATCTAAGCATCATTGTGACTGAAGTTATCGTTTGATGCATAGTATGAAGCAACTGCAGTTGTAATATCATATTCATTGTCGTGTCAGGCAGGTTCCGGCCATTGAAGCAGCAGCAATCGGTCTCACTGCAGCAGCAGACGGACCCGCTGATCTAATTGCAGCAATTCATGGATGTTTAGAAGCAGATTTGGTTTCATCAAACAGACCGGAGGAACGGCCAACAGGACGGCTGTTATGAGAAGTCTACGCAATGTAAGCCTTTTTATCGATGTCGTAGACAGCAAAGGGCCGAATGAGAGCAGTTCCTCCAAACGTTGACACCCTCATTTGTGTAGTAACGATGGCATTGTTCTCATCTACTCACCTTGAACATAACGGTAGTTGATCTTGCCTTATATAATGATTCATGAAGCGACAAAAAATGACCATCATGTGGTGTGCAATTCAAGTTCAACCAGTTATCTCTACACTTCACAGCTTCATTCTCCAGATAATCGACAACATTTGCTTCAATTAGCATTGCTTTGGTCTTTCTCTTGACTTTTCCTCGGCTTTGTTTAGCAAAACTTTTTTCCTGAGACTCTCTAAGATCTAACCAATCATGTCTGATTCTATTTGAATGAGAACAGGTTTTGAGCACCTTGGATGCAGATTCGTTAAGAGATCTTACTATAATAACTGGGTTTTGCATTATGGATTAAGCTAGTTTATGCTAATTAACAAACCTGAGATGAGGTAACGATCGCGTAACAAATAGAGCAGCAACAACATATTTGTAGTAATTATCAGCAAATGCGAAGAAATAACAGCTACCGTCGACAGCAATAACTGGCGTTGGCCGAACAATATCAACAACAACAGATCGAGTAAATGAAGTGGCCATTTTTTAGATAGGGTATTAATATCATTATTTGCTGGTTTTTGTCACAAGATTTACATGTTGAACCAGCAGCAACAGAATTACCACCGAAATTGGCTATCTTATTCTCAGCAGCGTCTCCTGCATGGCCTAATCTTCCATGCCCTGTTGAAGTAATTATCTGAGCAGCAGTTAGGGCGACGAGACCCTCTTGCAATCCTGAAGCTGCTCTTTTTCCTCTCAATGCACCTTTCAAATTAAGAGTATTATTTTTGAATAAAATGCAAGCTGTTATCTGCTTAGCGGCCGACATTGAGATTATGCTTAGACCATAGTCAGCAGGAAGAACAATCTGTAAGGATTTAAAAATTAAATGACGACAGCACCAAAACATTGCACGTGAGTGATAGTGTGTCCAACCATTGTAATAAGCCATGAATGAGAAGTCAGGTCGCTGAAGCAATCAGCATTAGCATCAATATGTTGGGGGCAGCAAAATCAAAATGGACCTGATTTAAATTGAAAATGAGCGTGCTGGATAGTTTTGACAACGAAATAAGCAGTGACAGGTGAGCTTGGAGACCTTCTAGAACGGCCACAGCATCAAGAAAACCGGCCGATTTTGACTGCCCGACCTAAACTGGCCGTGGCGCAATCCACTGACTTGTTAGCTGAAAGTTTTTCTGAGAATGAGAGTACGTCAATCTGATTAGTTTGGGTTTCGTCAATAAATCCTTACCAAAAAAAGGAACAGCGGTTGAACTTGCACTGGCAGGCGTTGCATCATTAACAGGAATGTAGACCAAATCATTATCATGAATATATTTAATTGTGTGACGCACAGTCAATTAAGTAAGAGGTTTTTCAGCGTAAGTATTATCAAAAACTGATGCCGCATAGAAAACTCCACCAAGTTAATCAGTTTTGTAGAACATATAGATACTGCAAGAACTTCACTATAGAGGGTTTTTCAATCTCTGTTATTTCATAAGATATGTCGCCGCAGACCTCAAGTAATTAACCTGGCAATATTAAAAGATCTTCAGCGCGTATCGTACCATACAGCTTCTTGAAGCCAACTAGTTATTGGCCGCCTTACACTCCATTGTAAAGCACCTTTTTCCTTTCACCAGGAGCAGATTCAGCAAGAACTGTTGCGCGGGAAATGCAATACAATCGAATCAAAGCGTCATCTGAATCTAGATCACTTGCCAAATTGACATTTCTATCCATAAAGTCCCGAACGGACGGACCAAAAGAATCAGTGTTGAATGTCAGCAGTAAACCCCAAACAATAATTTTAGCTGCAATTATTTGCCTCTCTTTTTGGTGTCGGTAGACATTCGCAATGGGAGTCATTACCGGTTGAACGGATTCCACAATAATATTTTAGGTGATTGTTTCCAGCCTCCACGGTGTCGAAATCCGGTGTCAGTGCTTGTCACTGGTCTGCTCCCGCTAAAATCATTTATATAGTTCAGTTTTCTATAGTTAGGGCCCGCAATTTCTACTTTTCTCCTTTTTGGGTTATACTAGTTGTCTTTTAATATATTAGGATGGATACCCTTCAACATGATATCCGCCAAGACAAAATCGTTTGCTGCCAAGAATCAGCGGAACAAATTGACGCCGCCAGCTTCGCCAATAGGGCTTCGGAGTCGAATTTGATAGCAGTTTACTTTGGTCAGTCGATTCACGCCCACATCGCAGAAATTGTAATTCTGGTTGATGATGCTGATTCAGATATAGCTCGGATGGATTGAATCAGATTTGCCATTCCTTGGTTACTGGGGTCATTTATCCTGCTGCAATAAAAGAAGTGCCATAAAATGGCTAGAATAGTGGTCAATAATATATTAAGGTGGGAGATGACATAATTCTATTGGGCTTTAAGTTACGGTCGTTTTATTCAAAGAAATTCATTGCGGAAAATGGCGAAATACTATATGCCAAAAGAAAGATTAAAAAATAAAGATTGGTCGGGTCATTTGGACACTTCAAAGATTTACGGTGATAATAAAGTTGCTACTATGTTCGTTCCTCCTCTTCGTTGGGACACCACTTACGCTGACTGGGTTCTTGCACTATTCACTGATTCTTGCAGAATGAAATTTACTGCTGCAAAAGATTTCTCCGAGATCCTCCGTGATGATCTACTTGCTGACAGCCCAGGTTGAACGGCGGAAGCCTCTGCTGGTAATCAATCATTCAAAAAGCCTAAAGAACAGCAAATGCTATTCCATTGTTGTTATCAAATGATTCAGCTCGCTAGTAAGTGATTTGCGCCACGGCCACTTTCTGCTGGATCGTCAATTGCCCGTAATCATTCTGATGCAGTGGGGGTTTAGGATGCCACCGAAACAGATCAGTCGCAGTTTTCTTCCTCGCCAAAAATAGCTTGAATGATTGTTTTGAATTCAAATGGAATCCACTCTGATGCTGCTGATTGCCAAAAAATTTGTGCTAACACTGATTGGTTGATGGATTCATCAGATCAATGATGTCACATTGCTGGTATTGGTGACACTATCGTTCTGGTCAAAAGTATTGGTGCTTTCAAACATCCACTTTCTTAATTATCCGCGAATGTTTAATACGCTCGCGATACCCAAAAACATATTTAAATGTTGCTGCTACAAATGAAAAAAATCTCGGGCTCATTCAAAAATGATTTGCTATATATTCATAATGGATTAGCAGGAAATAGAGCAGCGTGTGCAGTTGATCAATCTATTGATACCAGAAATGCTGTGGCGTTAGTTATTTGAATTTGGCCTCCATCTTTAAATCATCCAGATGAGACTTTGTAAGAGATGATGCAAAAAAGCAAGGCACTCTTGTCCCGCCGGTTAAAGCTTGTCAGTGCGGTTTCAAAAGAAAAGTAATCTAAATTATTATTAAGCCGTCAAGAAAACCTGCCTCCGCTGCTATATGATTTCTTCCTGTGGATATTATTAAGGCCAATCGCTTTTGTTGCTCTTGAACAGAGTCGTCACATTCTTGCTGTTGTTAATGATTGTGGAAACATTGTCGTTCTTGCTGCAATTCCAACCCAATGATTTGTTATGGCCAAGGTAGGTATATTATATTAACAACACTCAACGATTAATTGAAAAAGTGGTTCATTCCGTATGAGATGACAAAAAGTTTGCATCCAACTTGTTGAACGGTTCAGGTGAAGCTGAAGGATCCAACACTGAATTGTCATTTCTTCATCAGTCTCAACCGAAGAAGGTCCCTACTCAAGTGATACGGGCAGTCATCAAAATGGCCAAAACAATGGTAAATGAAGGAAATATTGCTGATTATTTTTGTAATGAAATTGTGATGTCTGCAGTGATTTGGAGGGACTTGATTCCCACAAAGCAAGAGGGTATTACGACTTTGTGCGGTAAATTATTTTATGAAAGACCATCAACTGCTTCTATGTTGACGGATTGTTGAGCTGCTGCTATGCCGTGACTACCAAACTGATTTGGCAAAGCCAGTAAAGCGATACAATTGTCATTTGTAGTTTTGCTGGCTACGAAATCGGCATGAAACAATACACTGTGTAAGATCTAAGTAGCAGCTGTCTTGCTGTGATTTGCTTTTGCCTCTTTCATGATATCAATCGACATTACGAAAATTCATGATTTGTGACCAATATATAACCAATTATATCTGCTTGTGAAAATACACTGATTCGCGCTAGTGTTATAAGGGAGATCTGGCTAACGCTACCAATGCTAAATGGATTGGGTCAGAAGAGAAAGAAACTTCTTGTGTCGAGACCAACGAATTAGATTCAAAATAATTTTTTTCAACCGCTGATGAAGATGATCAAGTTGCTGATGGAAATGCTGATGCCAAGCATGAGAAAGACATGCTTGCTACAACCAAAGCAGCTTATTTAATGGATGTTCATATCATTGATGATCTCCTTGAATTGATCACGATTGATTTGCGAACCACCATTAATCACCTCTTTCCTGTGATATATTTGGCAGTTCCATATTACCAGTAATACTAGTAATCCAAATCCTGCTTATCAACTTTGAAAAGTAGTTTGATATTCATCGTCTGATGAAATGCTTCAACTCAATACTTACCTGTAAGTTCTTCATCCAATCCCAAAGCTCCTAGTTGCTGTTTGTCGGTGTATAGAATGAAATTAGCACCAACTGCAGATTTTGCAAATCCAGATTTGTTCTTTAATTGGTTTGTCAGCTTGTAAATACAGTTCACTTTGATACTCGTAATCCAGCAATCAGATTTGAAGCGTTAAAGCTTTCAGTGCTGTTTCAGTATCTAAGTCATTCATGGATCATCAAGATAATGCCACCTCTGCATTCTTCGAACATCATATCATCGATGACAGATGCACGAAACAGCCACCAGAATTTGTCAATTCATTGTATCCTTCGAAAGTGTGATTGTTACCTAATCCATATATTGATTCAATCCATCTCTTATTTGTAGACACCACAAAGTGGTAATTGCTCTCCAATTGTTGGGGTTTCAAAGAGATTCAGCTGAACCTGGTGAAGTATATACTTCAATATGGATCACGACTGCATGCTAAAATATTTTGTGGATGATTTTTACAATGCGGATTTCTCTGAATCAATTGTCAGCTGGCAAGTTCATATGATCGACCATTGATAACAATGAAAAATTTTGCAGTAGTGTTTGGTGAATGTTTGCTCTCGAAGTGGGTGAAAACATTGACACTAGATTCGTATATATATAGATCTTGGTGAAACAGATGGTTCAACAGATCGAAATGGATGATTGTCAGTTGCGAGCCACACCAATTAAGTGTAGCACATAGACGGTGTTACTTGAATCAGACAGCTCTGAGATAGATATTGAAGGAGCTTCACCTTACCGTTCAATTGGTTCATCGTTGCTTCTCAAAACAGATTGTTAAGTAAATGACTTTGCATTAGCAATATTGTTAGTCAGTCAATATCTTGGATGCACAAAGATGATCATTTTAAGTTGCGGCATAAAAATGTTAATGCATTTCAACCCCAATCGATTAACTGTGCATTACAATGTATCCTGTTTAGTTGATTTAGTTGCATAGTATGACAGTGATTGGTCTGGTGATATTTCTGAACCAACATCAGTTGGTGACTACACGTCCAATGTTAATTGCAATCTAGTTAGTTGGTACTCGCAGAAGTAAGCTTCAGCATTTTCCCTGAGTTTTAAACCAGAATACATTTCACTCACCTAATCGGTCAAGGATGCTGCGTTCCGAAAGGAGCTCTTCAATTATATTGATACAAATGTTGCTAAACCAATTATTTGTTGAGACCACACATTAGCTTTCCAGTTGGCCAACCATCCCACTATACACTAAAGCTGCAAGAATATTTTGCTTAGCAATCACTTTATAATATGGAGGCGCAATGTTTCTCTCCTTTTACCAAAGTTGACACTTCATGTAAAGTTGCCCAAATGATGACCAAGGCGCTAAGCGCTCCTGTGATCCATTATTTCAAAGATTTGCTTCAATGATTGAATTGAGGTAAGCTTTTTGGTTGTTGTTGACGTCGTTTTCGCTTTATCCAATTGTCACAGTATGTTTCCGTTTTTGATAGGACAAGCCACAGTATTGATATACATTTCGTTCAATGAAAGTTGTATTAATATTCAACAACGATTTTCAGTTTATTATATCACTGATTTTCTTATCCATCTGCAAAGTACTTAATGTGGAATTACGAAGTACATTCTTTGAGAATTGATGTGTTAATTTTTTGCTGATCTTATCAAATTATTCCTTCTCATCGTTGAACTTTATTGAAATGTACATAATTATACAATTATCAGCGGCAGAGAAAAATGGTTGATCGCAAGTAAAGGAGCAGGGTAACTTGGGAACCGGCCAGGTAGCGCTCTTGGAACACAAAGCAATCAAAATCTACACGGCTGACTGCTTCTAATGTCACATCAGTATGCTAGTGCAACTGAAAGCCAGAACATCGAAACGACCCCGCTTCCTCACCCGTCAATGAATTATATTGGGTGGTCGTCTTTGGAGATCTAAAAAATTTCTAAATCTGGTCCCCTGCTGTTTCTCATTGATCTGATTGGATGAATCTTTTTGATTTAATGGGAATAAGTATAAACGTGCTGTGGTATCACCTCTACGGATTTCATTTTATATCCTTCTTTTGATTTAATATATTACCATGGACTGCCCACAGCATCGATGTAGTAGAAACAATTACCGATTTTGACAAGGGAGTGAGTTGGATCATTCAGCGTCACTAAAGCAGACCGGTGACATACATCGGGCAAGCGAGTATACTCATAAAGGTGGCTCGCAACATATGAAGCGCTGCCGATAACATCTTTGCTTTATTTACTTATATACTTCTTGATGTGTTGAAGCAACTTCATGAGAATCTATACAGCGTCAAAACGATATGAGAAAGAAAAACAAAGAACAGATCGTCAGCCATTTCGATGCAACTGCTTTAAATCACTGGGCGTCACTGGAGCAGGCGCGGACAGACGCCGACCGACCAATTGTAGACATCCGGGATAATTAAAGGAGCGCCAGTTTATCGAAGAACCCCACCTCAAACGAACCAGTCAAAGTGGTCGATCAGCGAAGAAAACCAGAAACGATTACCCTCGTTCGCCCAGCAGTTACCTGGAATGAGAGGCAGACAAGCTCTCGAACAATCAGCTCACAGGGACCGTGGAGACAGTTCAAAACAGAAGGTGGACGTACTAAAAGACACCATCTCGTGGTGAATAAAGCTGGTGATTTTGAATTTGTAAGATGTGCCTGCTACTACGGATGCTTTTCTAACCCCTCGAGCAGTCAGGCATTAGAAAGATGTTGCTTTGTGGGCAAACAACGTTACCCTGCCAGTTACATACGTGGTTCGTTTGCCAAAAGACATCTTGCTGAGCAATTGATTCTGCTGCACTCATGGACCCCGTTATTAAACTAAACTCTAAACAAGAAAACAAGAACCTGAGAAAAAGAAATAACCGAATCAATTGCAATAACCACTACTTTATCGAACTGAATTAGAAGTTTTGCTAATTCAAAGGAAAACCGGTGATGGAATCAAATTGTAACCCTTGTAGAAATGATATTTGTAGATTCATTGAATCACATCTTGACAGTATTCTACCACAGCCGACAAAAAATCAAACAAAGAATTATAATCAGTTGAATCAAAATTCAAGTAAATGACATAACCAGAAATGACAAACATTCAATCATTTAAGCAATATAGTGAAACGTTCTAAGACTGGCACGCTTTGCATTTCATTCGACATATCAGCCACGTTACCTTTAGTATCAATTTTTGCAATCGTGAAATGAACATTGCACAACTGTTTTACCAAGTGATACCTGATTGAAAAATAACTGCTGCTAATGTGACTCCTCCAATGGTCAATCAAGTTAAGAACCAAATTATTATAAAAATGGACAGCGGAATGACGAAGATATCGACCAGAATATACTATTAACCCTCAGTTTAGAACAGTGATATTTTCAATCGCTCGGAACGTGAGACGAATTATCATGGCAGCTCTGTAACCCCACAGAAGCCCGCTTTTTGAGTTGCAACTAACTGGCATTCCATTAATGAAGAGAATATGTGCACCAACTGATTAACCATCACCCATGGCCTCAGCACAAAAACACTCGGCGTACCCAAATAAGTCGGCTGATGAAACTGTTCCATATTGACCAGTTAGAGAAGTGCAGCTTTAATATTTAGCCCACCTTTCTTCACGGCATAAGCGGATCTGGCATAGCGCAGAATGATTAGCAAAGTCTTCCAACGGCAATTGCAAAATCATAGCTTAACCGTTTTGCAGCGAAATGCAACGTTCCAAAAATTGATCTGTGAAATGATGACCCATCAACATCTATCTACGCGCCATCCGTTTCAATTTGCACCTTCGATGGGATGATCATCATTGACGTACTCAGCGATCGAATATTATTTTTTCTTAAACTGTCGAACCTTCATATTGACGGAGGGCTGCATAGGTACCGAAATGGACTCTTTATTTTGAGCAACATCAAGTTCAAGAGGACGTTGATCAATCAGTCAAAGATCTTCAATTTGAACATCTACCATATTCATCAATGAACTGCAATATGTTTAGACTACGTTCACCATCGCCTGTCATGATGCAGCAATATAATGAGCTTCCACATACAACTGAATCGTACAGTGTTCTTAGTACATCGCACGTTAAATGACACTTTCCTCAGCTCAAGCGTTTTGGAACACCATCAATTGGGGGGGGGGGGACATTACGCATCTGCGTCGACCAACAAAAAGAAAATTGATTGACTCCACTAATTGATTTCCGTATCTTGCAAGCTATGAGAAGAAATTCACGATTCACAACACTAGGCTGTTGTTCCTTGCTGATATCGGCGTTGATATCACGGTTGAACCCGCATTTGTCAAATTTATTTTAGAATCCTTCAATGGCAATAATCCAGCAACTGCAAATCAGTTAAGGATGCTTTCATTACAAGTTAATCGACTAAATCGTTCAGGATAATGAACCCCTTTAAGGTGAGAAAACCGGTTGGCGGATGCTCACTAATTACCAGATTAATCTGTCGCTGCTCATTTCATTGTGAACACCCAACAAAAGCCAAAAAGTCTGGTTTCCGCAAGAATATTATATGATTGAAAAGTATTGCTCTCAGAGATTGCGCGAAATTCCGATCGACACCTGAGTCTGCAGATTGGGTCCGCAGGATTTCGTTTAACGGAGGTACCTGATTAGGAGCAGGAGCGAACTATGTCAAAGGAGGCCAGCTTTAAGAAGAACCATTTGAAACATTTCGAAACAACTTCAATTCATCTTCGATGTCATCAAGAATCTATTCACAATTTCTTTTGGTTTCAGCAGGTTGGTTTCTATCAGACTCACAACCAGGGATAACAACAGCAGCTGAATCATGATGATAAGTTGATGCATCTGATTTCTGTTAGTCTAATTGATCTTGATTGAAACCATCTTTCTTGCCAGCATCTGAGATGATGTCTTCATATACATGCTCGTCATTGAATGTAGGCATTCATGCATCGTCTGAAGCAATTGCTTCAGTGACTCGTTTGTGTTTGATTGACATGAACACAATTTCCCCATAACATAAACAGCAATTAGTGTCTCATTAACTGCTGTTGGAAATGTTGAATTAATAGCAGCCGATCTTCCACCATTGAAAACAAATGATTCAATCAAATCAGCAGGAAGTACTCGCAAGAAGGCTGCAGATAAGTTTACAGGACCACAAACCATACATGTTTCACCTAGCTGCATTTGCCAGGCTCTTTTCGGTGTCATTCCGTAACCGGCAAATGAAAATTCTATCAAACAACTAGCTTTGTACGTTTTTCTTCGAAATAATTGAAACGGAGTAGTCGCCCTAACGCCTTGTTGAGTAGAAATCAAGCTCATCAAAAACCCTGAATACATCTCCGCTACATTCCACACGTGATGGGGAAATGTTCCGTCAATGAACGTCGTCTTGGTTAGTCTCACTATCGTCTTTGCCAGCGTTGAGCAACCTCATTTTGATCACATTAATAAGAATTTGACGATTCATGTTTGATTTATTCTGAGTAGGATAATGTTTGAACCGCTTCGATGACATCCGTTTGTCAAAGCTGACCGTACAAACCGTTTTATCCAATAGTAGTGGCGTGAATATGATATAATATAGGAACCTGTCAACTGCTAGTGACCGGCTAACATTTAGTGGGGCAGTAACATATCTTCAATAATTCTCAACAATGATGAGCGGATAACGACTCTCATCAGCAGCAGCAACTGGCAATGGGGTAACAGTATCAACAACAAAGACATCAACCGCGGCAGTGGGGAGTCATGTGGACGGCGTAATATTTGTTGTGGACGTTTTTCCATGGGACTTGAATCTGATCTTGATTAGCCACCAGCAGAAACACTCTGGGATTTTCACATTTCTCTAGTAACAGCTTCACCTGCATTACATTGACCTTGATAGAATCTGTGCTACGTACTTCAACCGCCAACGAGGCAAAACAACATTCATAATATTTGTGAGCCGGCCTCCTACAAGGGATTGATCAGTTAAATAAAAACAAAGATTTTTAATTGAAACGGCGCACCTTGAATCTTAGCAGTTCACATTGAAATCAGTTATGGAACATCAGGCGCAAAATAAGAATTTGTAAAGATCAGGTAAATGAAGTCAATGATTTGTAATAGAATCGGAACAGCCCGAATTCTAGCAGCTCCGATTGAAAATCAATCAGCACCATCAGCCGCCTAGTAGACAAATTGTAATGATCAACCGTTGAAGAGAGTCGCAGTACCAAAACCTTTAATGTCTTTTATAGTCTCACTTAGCACAGCAGTGTGACCCAGATCAAGAATGAAGTGGCAAAAACATTCACCGTTAGCTCAAGGCTGTTAGTAAGAGCCAAGCACAAAACCGAGCAGTTTATTAATCATCGTCAGCATTCCAGTTACATTCAAGGGAGAGTCAAGGTGCGACTGATCACCTTTGGAGGGGGGATTCAAGTCAGCCACAGCAGCTGGGCCATTGGCCGAAAGTGATGAACTAGCACGAGATGGCCGTGGGGTCAAATACCCTCCAGCCAAATGCCTGATTTGCAACGGTGATTGCATGTCATATTTTTGCGGTCTGGCTATTGGAATGATTCCTTTCCAGAAGAGACTTACGTTGTTGAACCTGCGTCACCAGCAAATTCACCATCAAAAGACTTAAAGACGGAAAACAGTTCCAATAGTCAAATGATTTGTCTAAGAAATCCATGGCACTGTATTTGTAGCCACTTAGAATGAGATGAAAAATGCAGTATGGCGAGCGTAATAAACATTTTCTAAACATTCACTGGTGACTATCAACTCAGTGCCAATTGGATTGATATTATCCATAATGGCAGCAGTAGGAGCTGTGTACTCCCAATGATGAGTTAATGTCTTTACTCAATCCCGGTTGTCCCAAACCGTTTGGCGACCCCGGAAACAAAATAGAAGAGCCCACAGTTGTAAATTAGATTACTAGTTCTTTTTAACCGGCAAATAAGCACCTACAGCTTTGTTTAGTAGCCATCCTGAATTGCCGCTCCCGCCAACAATCTGCTGGAATTGATGATCCAGCACGACCTGGTGGTGGTGGCATTTGCTCTCGGGTGATATGTCGGTTGTGGTGACATCGATGTCATCTCAATCATTTTTGCATTTGCAGCTTGAGGTGTTAGCTACGGACAGTCACTAAGGCTGTTTACCGCGCGCTACCAGCAAATTCATCATTACAAGAATCATTGATCAGAACGAAGGCATCGGTGAATCAAAGTTTATAGCAGTCTCTAAGTGGTGTAGGGTCGCATTTATCATTGGAAGAGCATCAATCGGTAGTAGCGCACAAAATGGCTGCTACAGAATTAGCATGCTTGTCAATGATGGTCTTGTAAATGAATTCGTGAAGAAATTAACGGTAGTAACTTTTCATAAATATATTATTTCGCCACTTTTTAGGTGTGGGCACTTTGCAGATATTGGTAAGAAATTCAACGGCACTAGCACCGAAAAGAGTTGCGTATTAAGTAGTACTGGACGGCCTTTGCACCTGCTATATAGCACCTGTTTCAAAGCAGCATTACCCAATCGGTGACTAACCAACCTAATGCAGAGGAATGGCAAAGGAATTTCACTTATGTCACAATCATCATCATCTGCCACAATCACATTCTCTTGTAAATGCTTCAAGTAACGGACTAAGCTGAGCAGCTTTCCGATTAAAGGCGGTAACCCCAACTGGTAAGAATAGCACCATCTAAAATATTTTCCGACACTTGCTTGCGAGCATTTGAAATCTGGATGTTAGCATGTTGAAGCAGATCCAACATAATGTATCCAGGTTTAGAAACGTTGAAACAAATGGATAATGAAATTGAGATGGCCAGGGTGTTATAAGGAAGTGGTAAAGTGCACAAAGCCTCACTGGATCAGTTCAGTGACTGAAAGAGAAAACCCAGTGATGAACATTTGGGAAGCTTGCAACGGCCATCCATGCCCGGTAGCCAGATCGTAGAAGAGCGGCACGATCTGGTCGAACATTTTAGAGAACCTCCACATGAAGGGTGGCGCTGTCCGATCGGTTACGAATTGTGTGTTAGAAATATAGTCTCCAGGGATCGGCTCATCGGCGCAGTGGAACAAGCTCGCATTTCAAACAGGGCCTGGCTGAAGACAACAATTTGGGGTAGGGAAAATAGGTTTTCTTGATATACCGGTAAGTCTGTTGCAGTAAGAAGGGCCTTCAATGTTCTCAATGAATGAGGCTCTGGTAGTTCTTCCACGGTGTCGGTCAGGATTGTTAACCGGCCAGTTTAGTAGTTCGCCTGCTTGAATTGTTTAGCTCATTTGGTTTGGCAGATATACTTGTTTCCGCGCCACTGTTCATACTACAATCTTATACTCCTATATGGAATCAATCGACAACCACGAATAAAATATTATCGAAACTCAAAAATACGAATATCGTACCAAAATGCATGCGCTTTAGAATCCCCCCAAATGTGTTTTGTAAATGAAGCAAAACGGAGGAATGCAACGAAATTGCAACCATTGTAAAAGTGAATTTACCCCGGTCAGCCAAACAAACAAATGTCTAGACTGCAGCACATCCACCACAAAATCAAAGAACAAAAGACGGTCATATTGAGCCAAAATGCTGTCATCGCCTAACGTGATAGTTGAACAATTGAATGATTGAAGAAAATCATCGCGATGTAATAGCATCGGTATCTTAGCTGCCTTGGTGAACATGTCAACAGCACTTCTATTAGTATCCACTGCTGCAGAAAAATATGCAGGAATGGACAACCCTTTCATAAAATGATACGTCAAGGAACAATGGCTGGTGCTTCTGTGAGTGGTGTGATGGTTAGCAAAGTTGAAATGAGAGTTTTCTCATATTAGACATTTGATCTAGAAAAATCGTTTCAATATTGTCAAAGTCCAGCATTGGGATAGAGCCATTGAGACTGCTTTAGTGAGTAGAATGTAGTCAACTTCTCTAGTCAACAAACCGCCCAAAGCTTGCTTCTTCCACTTCCAGCAACACGCTTCTTGTTTAATGAAAAACTTATGAGCACGACTGATTGTCGATGCGGAGAGTCAGCTGTTTAATGATTCGTTTCGTTGTCACATTATTGAACTGAAGAAGCAGCTTGGTAATTAACGGATTATCTATTTCGGATCACGTTTCTCACCAGCTTTTTACGACGACCTAGATGGAACGTGCGGGGCGCAACGGCACATCGACCATCCAACCCAACAACAAATCCAGTGATATCTCAAAATCGAATTTGCAGTAATAACTTTTTTTCCAAGAATTGAATTCAAAACGAATGACATTGATTACCTAACAAAAATTCATCTGCTCTAAGTAGCGTGAAGCACGGGTTATTCATCATTGGTGTAGCCTGCCAGAGAGAAGTCATTCATTGTCAACTTTAGATCAATGGTTCCTTCCCAGGTCTCCTTTAATACTGAAATACCACCGTTAATTACGCCAAATTAAACAGCAAAAAACGGCACAGAATTTGTGCAATATATTGGCTTTGCGCTGTGGACTGGAATAGGATTTGACCAGCTTGTTGGAGAGATCTGATTCTTCGGCATAAGTAAAAACATCTTTGCATAATCACGGCATGCAGTAATGAATTTACTTTGAACGATGTTTTGCACGACGTTGCGCTGCCGCGGTTTTAATGCCAATCAACGACAATCCGTTACCCTTATTATCTACCATCAATGGGGTGATTCTTGCAGCATTGAAAATGATTTTCGCATCTCTAAGATTTCCACAGCCGTTTCACCATTAAAACATCTAAAATATTTTAATGAATAAATAATCTTCAAGAGCTCCTCCAAGGAATGTTGTACGTACATCCATTTCATAATCCATCAATGATTATCATGCAGCACCAGGAAGAGGCACTGCAGCATGTTAAGACAAAGAGGTTGCACAAAGTACTTCAGCAGATTCACTCGATTTAAGCCGAAACGAACTTTGCCGACTCAGTGTGGCTTCGTCAATTTTGGAGGTTTGCGGTGGCGTCAATCAAAACTAGGCAGCGACAGCAATCAGGTCTTTCTCCCGGGGAAGATCTGGAAGGCGGGAGCTATAGAGTTGATCTATTGCGCGGCGCCTTCATTGACACCCTCCATTCTAGATTGGCTTTGGGGAATGTGTGTTAATCGCACCACCCCCAATAGAAGCGGCCAAATGAGCCAGAGGAGACCTTTACCCAATTCCTTTCGTTGAATCATTTTAAGAGCAGTGAAGTGCATTAATAATGTCATCATCATGTTGATAACGACCTATACCGATTGAAGAAAGCAGCTCCTTCTCATATTAACCGGCGGTGCTATTATTAGCAACATCGCCGTTGTCGTCTGTCGACGCAACAAATTCACTTGAATTTAATTCTTTGGAATGATCACATTATTCTTTTCGTTGTCTGAAAATCATTCAATATATTTGTCACCTTTGTCGGATAAATATCTAGATGTATCGTCCAAGACACTTGATGATTCTTAAACTATACGACTGATCGCAGTGAACAGATTTCCTTTTTTCAATCTGGGCAGCCATGATTATAATTGCGGAGCTGCGTACACTGGTTAGTAACAAGCCAGTAACCGATGGATCGAAAACACAAAATTTGGATTCTTCAATATTACAAGACGAACCGAGAGCAGCACAGCTGAGGATGGAACAGCTCATATTGTAGGTTATTTAAATCATGTCGTCGTCGACAAGAGCCCAAAGAGCTTCCATCACACGTGATTTTCTTCACCTGATTTGTTAAGCGACCGTGAAATAAGCAGAACATTCAACTATCGTTGACCAAACAGGATTCGATTTTCTTTTATATAAAACCTCATAGGACGTCGTCAAAAAGGCCTCCTGCTTTTTTTAGTGAAATTCATTAAAGTCGTTCAACTTATCAAAAGTTCATTCAAGAGGTATTCGTCTACACTAGATTCACCTACCCGTTTCCAGGCTTAACTCATGATTGATGTTGGCCAACGCTCGGCGACACCAATTTGGTGAGACTTATAGTAACCGACATATCATACTTGCCTTTCTTAGTTTATCAAGAGGTTTTCAACGGCAAGGATGAAACGTCGTTATTCAATCAAACAAATACAACAGTCATATCCAATATCATTGAGAAACATTAATATAATAAACAATACTGACGACGGCTTGCGACCGTGCTGTCGTCGACGAAGCAACAAAATATTCTGGGCATAGAACACCAGTGAGATAAATTTACAAGTCGAATACACCGCAACAACTGGCACACTGCTACGAATATCATTACAATGTATATCAAGAGCAGCCGTGGGTTGTCTTTTGGATTGAATATAAATAATGTTGGTCTATTTTACTATGTCACAAAGTTCACAGATTGAGCTACCAGCAGCGGAAGTGGCATAGTCTGTGCCTTATTCAGTTGTATCAGCCTTGCGCGCATTAGTCAAAAGATGATATAAATTTTTGAAAAATCACGCTGCAGCGGATGGGGCATCGGAACATCGATATTCTCCTCCAATGGCGGTCTTACCAGCTGACCCACTATTCGAATGAGCAGCATCACAATCGAATGATAGTTACGGTCGTTAAATTGTAGCTGTTCATATTGAAATGGTTTTCCCAACTTGAAGAGCGGAGAGAACGGCTTGCAGTGATCCACCAATCCCGAGCATCAAAAGTACCAATGGCATTCACATTATCGATAATTTCACCAATAAAGCCAATATCAACAGTCAGTTGGGTTTGGTGGGTGAGACAACCAGCGTGATCTTTAAAATTTTGGGAACGTTCACCAGCAGAAGATCAGCTAGTGAAGTTTAACATCAGCTTGAGCTAAGCTTTGCCCACCAAGCAAATAATGGGTGATCATCTTTTCATGCATCTGCCGCAGCTACAGCAGCAGACGCTTGGGTTGGAATTGGTGAACCAGCAATAAATGGTGCCGTACCAAGCCCTGACCAGACATATTTTACTTTTGCAACATTAATTGGACCTCGTTCTCATCCATTTTGGGCTCGTCAACGGTTCCGAACAAACCGAGTCCAATGGAGTTGATCATGAGCGAACATTAAATGGGTCAAGAGCAAAACGTTTCACCAAAGCATCTCTATCGGTGGAAGTGATTTTGTGAAGATGTGCCAACTAAGCAATACCGCAATCAGCATGGGAGGTGTCTCAACCAAACGGAGGATAAAAAGAGCCGGCTAGTTTTTCTTCTTTCTTGCTCTTCAAAATATTTGCACAACAATTCGTTGAAAAGTTTATTGGAATCCTGTTGTTTTGTTAACGCATTTCGCGCCTAACTAGAGGTAGGTCATCTGGTCATGTAATTAGCTGCATAACGTTTACTAGCGAAACTAATCTTCGGCAACGTATCTAATACTTGACGGCCGTTCACGGATTGTCTAGAACTTCGCCAATACCGCAGGAACTAACTTGCCACTACCCAATATATGACAATTGGAAGCAGAATCAACCATAATATTCGGTGAATGAACATCAGGAAAAATAATAAAATTTCCTTAGAGAAGAGGTTCAATGAAAAAGCAAGCTCAGCAGCTTTGAGAGTCATCGCTGAAGTCCAAATAATACTGGCAGTAGGATTCTTCAGTCTGTCTGAGTTTAGCAGCAAACAATGAGAATGTGGTTCGTAACCTGTTGTAGCGAATGCCTGAACAATAATCAGGGCGTGGAAGTACATTGAAATGAAGCAACTGAAAAGATTGTCAACCCCTTGAAATGGAACTAAGATTGATCACAGAGCTGCACAGGAGCTAACCAGGGGCCATTGCCCAAAGACTGAATGATGTTTTTGGCGAGGCACACAATAGAAGCGGCACTTGAAAATCGGCCCAAGGTTTTCAAGTACATTTCAACTTGAAAATCCATTAGGGCAGTATTTGTTTTGAAGCCTTAATTATTAAGAACAGGTCATTATTGGTAATAAATGCAGGACCAGATCATTAAATACATTTAATATTACTATTCCCTTGAAGATTCTTTATTGCAATGCTTTAAAGCTTTACAATTTGCTTCTGGACGGCACAAATGTCTATGCTGATTTTCTTTTTGATCCTAATTACACCGAATCAGCTCTTACGAATTCCAACACTGTGACAATGATATATCTGGTGTTGCAATTGAATTGGACAATTATTGCTGATTACAATCGTACTGCCTGTTCAACATATCAAATGTTTGTCCTTGTTAATACGGACGCTTTCAACAATCGATTGGGTAGAAAATGAGATGTTTCCACGTCTCCGCAGAAACCATCAAGCTACTGGGTGTTTGGCACCACGAGCCGCTTGATTTTCATTCTGCGCAGGGCCCCTCTTTTTTGCAGGTCTTCTGATCTGCGTGCCTCCAAAGCGGAAGTGTTTCCCTTTGCTTGGTCGGAGAATGTATCTGTGAAGCTGACGCTCAACTCTATACGGTTCAATAACACCGCTGCAGTTCCCAACATGTATGCCTTAACGTTAATTGGTGAAACCAGTCCACCTCTTAAGCATGTCACATAGCTGGTATTAGTGACACAAAAGATATTGACTACAATATTAGCAGTGCAGAGCTGCTGAAAAGTGGAACTACCTTTAAGGTCAATACAGGCATTTGATGTTGAAGGATGGGCCGAAATCTCAGACGGTACGGAAATCATCAGTGATTTCCATTGAAAAATGATTGTCATTATCTGATTGCTGTAGTGGCCTGTATAACAACGGCTGCATGGCAATATGACTTTTTCGTTGGCCCTTGTTCTGTTCCGTTGTCTACAAAAATTCCGATGAGTGTTTTGACGATGAAGGTGAGATTCTCGTCAATGGTATAGCCATTACTCAAGAATTCTTTTCTGTTTGTGGATTATAGTGTAGCTCGTGTAGTGAACTGATGCCGATCAAATTTAAATTCATCTCAACAAAAACATGTCACACTGCTTCATTTGCCTTTCATCTTGTTGGTACCATTTGCCAAATGGTTGTTGTCGCCTTAGATGAAGGTCGTCTTTTCGTTCTCAGCGGTCAAAACTACATAAGGTTTGATGTTGAAAATCTGATTGTTGAAAGATGATTGGCTGTGGCCTGGGTAATATATTTCACTACTCTTATAAATCGGTTATTGGCAAGCAGTGACTAGATTGTCCAATTTAAAAACTAGTTCCCATTCAACCAGTTTAAACATCTCCGGGTAGATGACACGATAAGGAATGAGAAGTCCGTTCCTTTCGAGTCACTTTAAAACTAGGTTGCCCACCAAAGGAAATCTGTTCTCACAACAACAGAACGAAACCTTTTTATTGAACATATGTTTCCCGCATCATTTCACATCGAAACTGTAAGGAGAACTGTCTAGTGGACTTTCTTGATTGGCACCACTGAAGGTTCTCCGCTGAAATCCATTTGTATTGAACATTTTTGAAAAAAATCCACGAAGAGTTGCTGAAGCCCCTAAGATGTGGTGCTTTCGCTTTAAAACTAAATCAATTCCGGTAAAGAAAATTAGGTATCCCAAGTACGCTCAGTGGCTACGATGGCAAGATCGATGGTCAAAAAGTTCACAGCCAGTTCATCGATGATTAAAAGAGGTGGTTGTCAGATCCTTCTGTTGCGTGCATGACACCTTACTTTCATTTAACGATTCACCCACAGCTGCCGGTAATATTGCATCTCTACCGGCTGATAGAGTTACCCCTGATACTGCTGGATTGGTGGGGAATTACTTGTCCTCCGGTCCTAATGAAAAGATGTCACAGAATCAATTACTTCAGACGATATTTCAACAAATTATATGCAGTGGGAACGAGGCGTATCATTGCATTCTCTTAAATGTTGAAGACACAGATGACCTCAATGACAATCAGTAAAATCAATGAATTGAATTGCTGGACCGACATCAATGAAGGTGCAGGCGATACCACACTCTTCCTGAATCTAATCCACAGCAGCTGCATCGAAACAGAATGAATACCAAAGAAAAGGTCTTTAAGATTGAATACAAAACTATGATTTTTGCAAATGATTGAAGAAACTGGGTTTGAACAACGTCTTTGCACCGGTTTGCCGCGGCTTTTCTTGCCGTTATCAATGATGATCCAACTTCCGAAGATAAATTCAACCAGGAGATTGCCATTGAGAACTTCAAGAATTGGATGATGGAAATATCTATGATTAAATTGATTTCCCCACGCGAAACAAGCCTGTTTGCAGTCGTCGGGTGCTCAAAGATATGTCCACCAAGAAGAGATTTTGCAAAGACCTGCGATGCTGATCAAACCGTTTTGCATTTTGAGTGTGTTTATGATTTTCATTTGTGTAGTCCAGCAATTAGGTTTCAGTCTATGACAGTACTGCTTGCAGTTCCAGCTTCAGCGTTTTTTAAGGTTGTTCTAATCGACCTACCAGCTCCTTTTCTTCAAGGCGATGCTAACGAAAAAGTCGTCTCGAAACAGCAACTGATTTCGATCGTCCTGAAACAGCTGATAGTATATGGAAGATACCCAAATTTAATTTGGTCGCAACTAACCATTGATTTGTTGTTATATTCAAATGCTGACTGATTTCTAGCTATATCGGCTTGCAAGGGCTTCAACTCAAATTGGAGTGGTTCAATTGTGAAGAAACAAAGCACACCAATTGCTTTGATTAAGTGTGCATAATCCTATTGTCTCCCCTACATCCCAGCCAGATTTAATTCCATGAAATGAAATTTTCGTTCTCTGTTGAAGAATAAGTATTTGGCACTGATAATCGGTCAACATGATGGGCTTGATGTTGCTCACTGTTAAGACAGTGCTCCTATGTGTATGATCAGTTTGGTCAGGATGACTGTTCAACCGATTACAATCGACATATGTGATTTTGCGCTCCTCACCGTTGACGTTAAGCCAATCCACCGTGCTAATTGAATCGGAAACCTATCAATTTTATCAGCAAAAGTCATCGCCTGTCGTTTCACTCAATGTTTGGCTGCTGTTTGCGGCACATCATACGCATTACAATATTGCTTCTTGGGCTGTGTAGCTTAATTAGTACATTCGTGCACCGGTAGGATGATTCTCTTATCTGCTAAGATAGGCCAACGTACTAAAATCCAAATAAATTAACTTTTCTTTATTAAGCAGCCACCCCAGTTTAACTAAATAGATATTGTGGCTGAAATAGACCTAGGGACAATGATGACGATGTTGTGGTTTGTAGTTATATGTAACTCATTAAGCGAAAACCAAATTGTTTCAACTGAAAAAGGCCGAGTTCGGTTGCGCCGCTGACAGGTGGTGGTAGATTATTTTCTTCTTCAGAAAGACTTTAAATAGGCGGCGGTTCTGACGCATCACTCAATATTTCCTGGCGGCGTTGTTCATTACGTTTTGTTGAAATGATTTGATTGCCATATTCTTATAGATTTGTTGATTGAACTGCGCTACTATAGTTTATTTCCTTGGTTGCCTGTGCTGTCTGTTTTTTTTCAATGCTCTCAATTTCATTTCGTTGCTGGAATATTTTCTTCATTGATTTGCAAAGTCCCTATCCTGGAGTTACTAAGTACTCGCAGGTGGAATTCTTGCCTCATATATGTTATTCTCTGCTCTTCTTATCGTTTTCAGCAGATTATATTATATCAGAGTGAATGTGGGTAGCCGGAACTGCAGTTCAGAGAAATGGGTGTTGGCAAAGAAACGAAAGGGTAAACACGCCGCGTAACAGCTTTTACGGAATTAGATAGAACTACCTCAAGCCTCCTTGATTCAAACATTGCAGAGCGTCCCTAGTGAGATCCACATTCCAGTATCTGAACACCCGCACTCTTTTTACCCCACAATTATTCTTTTCCGAAGGCCGTGGTTGCGATTGGAGTCCACTGTTCGGTGCTGTAAATCCAATCCTGATCTCGATCAATCACACTCACCACTCTATAGAGTTTGCTGAACGCCAACAGTAGTTGGCATAGTTTTTAAAATGCTCTACGGCAAAGATAGAACGATATGATGTTTGGATACTTGGTTAAGGTGAGCCGCTATGAGTCTGCCGTATTTTTGCATTCAGTGCCCCTGTGTCCTTCACGGGTCTGTTTTGGGGGACGCTCTGCGAATCAGCGCCGTTCTATTTGAATGGGGCTGGCGCTCTCTTCGTCGTTCTTTAGTCTACTAAAGTCTTGTCTTACGTATAATTTTTTGGTCTGCTACAAATCTTCCACTAGTGCCCAAAATATATTCCATCATCAAAGCGACGCATTATGCAATCAATTCAGCTGGCTCATACTGCCATCGTTTCTCTTTATCAACCCAATGGATTTCTTTGAGAAGAGTTTGAGCCAGCAGACCAATGCAGGCTGTGGCACGATTCAAGACCGATATCATTTTTGAGAATCGTGCAGCAATCATTAATTACTCCAACCATTTACCGAGATCATTGGCGAAATGAGGGATCACTTCGTCACCACAATAGTTCTTAATATATGTCCATAAATGAGGTTTAAAAAGTTGGAAGAAGAAGGAGATGGCCGGCACCCGTGGTAGCAACCCGAGTTGCGATAGAAGGGGCCTCTGCAGCAATCCGCAGACAGATATTGAGGAGCTAAATGTAACGGTACTGGGACGGAAAAGACGTCTCTAATCCGCTAATGCGCAATTCCATCTTGGAACGAAATCCAATCCAGGTGGGACATTACTCCAAAGAAATTTGGGCCTCCAATCCAGCTGTTGCTCATACAAAATTAAGCGGCGACAGTGACCAAAATTTAAAATTTTTTATTCCTCTTATCATTCATTGAAAGTGGAAGCTTATTCATATTTTACATCATTGTATGGTAGGGCTAATTTTCAAAATAATTGTTTGACACTTCTACGCTACTACAAAAGAAAAGTTGGTGCCATTGTTTTGGACATTACTGGGCCCTCGTCATTTCCGATAATGTTATATTAACCAAACTCTTTTAATTCCCTTTGCCATCGTAAAAGTTAAATTAAAGTCGATGGAGATGATGAAATAAATGTTTTCAGATATCTCCATTTCGGTAGCCCAGAACATGTTGTTCGCCGCACAAACCGAATCTGCTTATCAATTGCAATAGAATGAAAGCAAGAAAATCCATCCACAAGTATTACTATTGTTTTGCATACGTATAATTGACATATTATGTTCTGAATGCTTCAGCTTAAGCAAATAAAAAATCTTCATTTTCATTCATGAACTCTATCAATGTTTATCACTTTTTCATCCTTCTCGATTTGGTTGTTTTGTGGACAAATTTGTCATTTTTGAATTTCGCGCAAAGTCTTCACAGCATAACTTCAAGTTTGGAAGCCCTTCATCAACGATGGATGATTGTCTGATCCCATGTCGCAGTCACATTTCTTTCAACTCAATTGCTCATCAGTTCTCGATTATCATATCGTTCTGCGAAAAACGATTTCCAGGGTAACGTGTTTGTTAAGAATACTTCATCCAATTGTCGAAATTGATGTAATTCAAGTGTAATGATGAAACCCGTTGTTGATCAAGAAATCTCCAAATTTAATGAACCAATGCTGTTGTTATTAGCTTAAAATAAGGAGTTAGAGCAGTACCAACTCAAATGCAATTAGTTTTCTTTAGAATATGTTTATTGTTTGGAATTGGATGCCGTGCAGCTCAAATCAAGTTGCATAGGCCACTCAACCGTAGTTTTCAAGATCATTCCTTTGATTAAGCTTAGAAGTGTTTTATTATCTTCATACTTCCTTTTTGAACATCACAAAACTCTTCATTTGAAATCATTTCCAAAATCAGGTTGAGTCTACGCCACTCTATTTTGCGGACAACTGCAAGTGAGTCGGAGCTGATCAAATTTTACAGACGGACTTTGCAGTATCTCCACTCTCAAACATTAAAAACGCAGCAAGGGGGGCTTCTTTTAGATTTTCCAACCTAAGCTATATAACCGTAGACTTGCTTTTGAAACGCCTAGTCAGTTAATGACATAATTGATCATCGATCCATGTTGCTCCGCAGACTCATTTCTTGGAATTCCCCCTGTTCACAAATATTTGAAAGAAGTGACAAACGATTCTATTGGTCTCCGTAATAAAAGGCAGCCGCGATCCATCAGTAATAAAATACAGCAGATCAGAGCGGCGCACGATAACCATTATATGCATTGCCGAATCATTTGTATTTAAGCTTATCATTTTAACCATTTATCTTTAATTATTTTGCAAGTCGTTTCCTTTACCACGGGGGTTTGCCAGCAGATATGAGAATGTTAATCGTAATCAATCCAAAACCGTGTCTGGAATCTCGATCGTCATTTTGCCCAACATGTTGCTTAATTGTTAGGACAAGCATATTTCAAAGGAAAGATAGTCAAATCAACTGGCTTTGAATCTCTTAATCAAGAATAAAATATTGAACAGAACAATAAACTGCTAGAACTGC